CTGTGAAGAAAATCAAATTCATTGCAACAAGCATGACAAACAATTAGGGAGTATCTTACAAATCTAAATTTATTTTACATGCATTTTTTTCCTCTTTATATGTACTATTTACATGTTTCTCTCCTTTTTATCGGTGGAATAAATTTTTTTTTGTTCTAAAGTAAGAAAGAGAGACGCTTTGTTTATAAATATGACAATTTAAGATGTATTTATAAATATACAAATGAATTGTTTTATTAAATGCCCAATTGAAAAAACAAAACACTCTTTGAAGACACAAAACACTACTTTCTGATCAAGTTTAGATTACTGAAGCCTAGCATTTCCACGTCATCTGAGCAGATTTTAGTCCGACTCAGACGTGGCATTGCCACGTCATCTCCTCTATTTATGCGAAGAATCCCCTCCTTCTTCAATTAGATATGGTCTGATTTTTCCATTCTTTTTTTCTTCTCTCTTCAATAGTAAATTTTGGGATCAACCCTAGATGTTTAGAGTTTTCAAATAGATTTTCACTCTTCAATGAGACTCTCTCTTTTTCTTCAATTAGATCTGTCTAATTTCAAAATTTTCTTATGGGATTGAAGGTGCAAATAATTTGTTTAACTAAAAAGCCAAAAGAATAAATACAACTCACTCAAAATAAAAGAATAATTAACAAGAATAATTCAGAAAAAAGCTTGTAATGCTCAATGCCCTTTATTGGAGGTCTATGCCTCTATTTATATACAAAAAGATAATGGAATTATGGTAGGACTCGCCTTACTTGTCCTTCAATTCATTCCATTTATAATTCTTTACCTACAGAGTTCTTTCCTTTTGTAGTTCTTTCCATGCAAGTCTTTTTCTATGCAGAATTTCCTTATATGAAGAATCCTTAAGGAAAAATACTTTGATTAATTTGAACTGGACTTGAATTAGGATGTGATTGGGCCGGCCCACGAATCAAGAGGTTAATGTGAATAACCTTGGGTCGATGGCAACTTTAGTTGGACTTAGCCGAGATCGGGTTTTGATGGGCTGATTTGGAGATCAATTGGGATTTTGATTTACTTTAATGACGTGACTGATTCTTATTGGAGGGGAGATTTTTCCCTCCATACTTTGCCCCCAATTCCGTCCTAAATTGAACTACGGCTCCTAGTTAGAAGGGAATTGATTTTCCACGGTTGCCAATTTTTACAAGAGGCGATTTGAGAAGTGACCATTGACATTCTGACCAAGGGAATCCTTCAAAGCTTGCTCTTGCCTTCACTGCGTTCATTGCTTCGTCGTGATATCAGGTTAGTTCTTCATCCATCTTGTTCACCATTGATTCCGTAATGGAGGAATTCGAGATCCCCAAGGGGGTGGAGATTGTTGAATACCCAAAAAATGCTGATTTTAGTTCAGGTGAGGGTGTTGGAGAGAATGAATTACTTTTGTCCGTCAGGCACCTTCATGCTCTTCGTTTTCCCCTTCACCCCTTTTATCACCTAGTCTTCAACAAGTTTGGTATTGCTCCTCTTCAAGTAAACCCTAACTTTTTTCGAACGAAGGCTAGAGAATCTTGATTTGACTCTTGCTGACCTATTGATTACTTATACTATTTCGAGACACCAGACCGAGCTTGGCCGCTATTACTTTATTTCCTCTCTTCAACAGAGGATATGTACAGATCTCCCCTCTTCCAAGAAGAGATAGAAAGAGAGAATGATTATCGTTAAGGGAAATTGGTCTATGTCTCAATCGAAAAAACTTCCTATTCCCCGCAAATTTGGGATATTAGGTATAGAAGATTTACCTTCTCTCCATAAAAAATGCTCTGGTTGCTTCCCATGTCAAGTTTTATTGTTTTGTCATACTTACGAATTTCTTAGTGTTTTTCCAGCAACGTTCCCCTCTTTTGTAGCTAAGAAAAGGCTTGCTTTCCTCGAGGAACAAGTTTGGAACGACCCCCCTTCTGCAGAGGACCTTTTTTATTCATCCAACCTTAAAGATCTTGCTTCTAGTGTTTCAACTGTTGATCTTATGGATTTGTCATTCCCTTCATTCGATAGCTTTCCTCTAACTGAAGAGGAAAAGAAGAAGGCTGAAACTACCAAGAAGAGAGCAGCAGAGGCTCAGCTCCTTGCAGTTATTCGTTCTACCGAACACGAAAAGGAAGTTGAAGAACTTCCTTTGAAGAAGAAACTTAAATTAAACCCTTTTTCCACTGACAAGAACAATTAACCTCTCAAAGAGTAAAGGGAAGAAAGCTGACGAAGCCGACCTTGAGGAAGAGGTTAGGGCTTTTGTCCTAGCAGAAGCTGGAGAGGCTTGGAGGTTCACTTTCTCTAGGGCTGACAAATCAGTTCTCCATTTTGGAGATTCTGTAGTCATTGATCCATCTGCTGCATTGGCAGTTGCTCGTGGGATGTGGCTGCCCAAAGATGAGGAAATCATAGGCAACATAAGGCTAGAACAACTGCTTCCATCTGCCCCAGTTCGTGCCATGGAGGTTTGTCCTCTTTCTTTATACATTATTCTCTTATTTTCCCTTTTGCTTTGCTCACCCCATTATTAATTATGTAGAGTTTGTATCATAGCATGGCCTTGTGTGCAACTGCTGAAGCTCAGTCAATTTTCATCTGGAAATTAGAAAATGACTTAGTTGCTACTGAGAAGAAGCTCTCCCATGCACTCATAGATGTAAAGATGGCTTATGACGCGAGGGATGTATACAAGGGACGCCTTGCATCCGCTGAAGCTAAGCTGAAGGAATTGGAAACTGAGAACTTTCGATGGAGGGATGCAGGTAACACTTGCACAACTGCTAGAAAACAAATGCAAGATCGTTATTTCTCCTTGGTGTGCTTGTCTAGTGCGAGGGCATTTCGGTTCGGCTTTGCTTAAGGCTCAGGCGATAAATCAAAGGATCCAAACGCTTTTGACGCAAACATGGAGGTGTCATTTCCCTATACTGAGGGTCCAAAGGCCCAAGAAGCTGAGGTTTTATTCGTTGAGATGGTGAAGTCTCACCAAGGGAATCCTCCACTTTCAAGCTCCTCAGTTCCTCCAGTTACAGCTTCTAGCCCAAACGTGGTTGATGCTTTCGATTCTGCTCCTTTTGATCCCAAAATGAAGTGAATTTATATAATATTTGTCTTGAACTGGTGTATTTTGTTCTGTAAACAATGGTAACTTTAACTCTTTCTATTTGATACATCTATCCTGAAGAGTTTCCATATTTTTTAGTATCTCAAGGTTGCATGTTTTCCTGAGTAGTTTTCCATACCTTTGAGAAAAGTTTGTTCTCTTTGGGACCTTCGGACTTGTTATGCTTCAAAGATATAGAAAATGAAAGATAACAAGAAGAGAGTTCCCTTGACCATCAAGTCACAAACTAGAGATTGTTATTTCACTCAGTGATTTTCTTATTAAGGGAACCCTTCTTGTTGACTTTCTGCTATAACTATATCAATGTTTTCTTGTTCTTGTATTTTTTTGATGTGGGACAAACTTTTACTGGGGCCTGAGAGTGGGACATCCATAAAAAATATCTGCCCCCATTTGGGTTTAAACCCGTTTGTATACCTTCAAACCCTTGAGGTCCGAGGTGTTAAGTTCCTCGGCAATTGTATATGCCTTAAAGGAAAATTTTAATGTCTTCGGGCTCTTGGGGTCTGAAGCGTGGGGTTCCACGGCAATAGCGTATACCTTAGGGAAATTATTTAATACCTTTGGACTCTTGAGATCTGAAGCAAGAAGTTCCTTGGTGATGAAATATGCCTTAGAGGAATACTTTGATGACTCCGGGTTCTTAGTGTACGAAGTATAAAGTTCCTCAGTAATAGTGTATGCCTTATAGGATTTTTATCTAATACCTTCGGACTTATGAGATCCGGGGCAAAAGGTTCCTTGGCGATAGGAAACGCCTTAGAGGAATTACTTAATATCTTCGGATTATTGAGATCCAAGGCTTGAAGTTCCTGGTCAATGGGATATGCTTTAAAGGAATATTTTAATGACTTTTGACTCTTGGGGTCCGAAGCATAGAGTTCTTCGGTAATAGCGTATGCCTTAGAGGAATATTTTGAGGACTTCGGACTCTTAGGGTTCGAAGCATAGAGTTCCTCGGCAATAGCGTATACCTTAGAGGAATATTTTGATGCCTTTGGACTCTTGGGGTCCGAAGCATGTATTTTATCGATATCTTCAGATTTTTGTGGTCCAGAGTATGGAATTCCTTAGCAATGATATATGCCTTAGAGAAATTTATTGATGTCTTCAGACTCTTGGGGTCCAAAACCTTTAAAAGAGGAAGAAGCCAAAAAAAAGAGTCACAGAGACTATGTAACGTTCCATACATGTGATTAGAAGTCTTGTCGTTTCTGAGACTCGTTTTATGGCATTTATTGACAATATGATACGGTTATATTAACTATGCACTCTTTTTATTTTTAGTCGATGTGGGACAAAAATAAAGTTAAAACTTTTGGGCAGAAATCCTAGGATTAAAAAGAGAATTATTGTACAGAGTGCTCACTGGTACTAGGGCTTTAAACACAACTTATGTTGGGCCGCTTTTGTTACCAGTAGGCCCACTTTGCAATACAGTTTAAATACTTTAATTTTTCCTGATATAAAGGAATGTTTAAAGTTACTTTTTACCGATGTGGGACAAAAATAGAGAAAATATTTAAAATATAAAATATTTTCTTTCTCGTAATATCAATAGTAGGGTATATGTTTTGTCCCCTATGACGAAAAAGGAAATATTAACAAATAGCTCCCATATCGACTAAGAAGAAGCAACTAACATATTTGTGGGGATGAAACTTTCATAAGGAAGATCGTTAAATACACGGTACTATAACTCGTTGTGTATCCAACGCTTTTCATTATTTTTTAAAATATTATTACATCATAAATTAACAAAAAGAGCCTGTAAAAAGATGTAGTAAATAAGAGATACTTCATTACGTGGGCCACAAGCAGCTTTATTTTATAAAGAAACATATAAAAATTGACGAAACTATCTAATGGTAGTACCTTTTGAGGTGTATTGCATTCCATGGGCGTGCAATCACTCGCCCATTAGCTTCAGCTAGCCTGTAAACACCTTTTCCTACTACTTCCATAACTCGGTAGGGCCCAATCCAATTTGGTTGCAACTTTTTTACATGTGCTGTCTCCTGCTTCAGTACCCAATCTCCTACTACAAAGCTTCTGAACCTAATTCGCTTGTTGTAATTGTTTCGCAACTGATGTGTCCGAAGAGTTGGGATTGCTGATTCTGTTGGGATGACAGCTTCGGATCCATAAGTCATTGCAAAGGGACTCTCCCCCGTTGGCCTTCGTGGAGTTGTTCGATAAGCCCAGAGCATGCTGGGACGATTCTCACACCATTTAGACTTGAGCTTTTCCAGTTTCTTTTTCAGACAGTTGAAGCTCGTCCGATTAGTTATCTTTGCCTGCCCATTCCCCTGAGGATGGCTTACAGCAGCCAACTTCTGTCTGATTCCATGCTCGGCAAAGAACTTTCTTGTGCCCATGTTATCAAAATTCTTTTCGTTGTCCATCATTATGACCTTCGATACTCCAAACCGACAGATTATATTGTTCCACAGAAAGCTTTTCACTTGCTTGTAAGTCACACTTGAATAAGCCTTTGCTTCTACCTATTTTGTGAAATAATCCGTAGCCAATAATACGTATTCCTTTTGCTCCAGAGCTTTAGGTAGAGAACCTACCATATCTATTCCCCACTGATCGAATGGCTATGGATTTGCCATTGTATACAGATCCTCAGCCGGTTGATGTTTCATTGGGCCGTAGCGTTGACATTTGTCACATCTCCGGGCATACTCCTCGGCATTTCTAGCCAAGTATGGCCAAAAATATCCTTGAGTTAAAACTTTATGGGCGAGGGCTCTTCCGCCAAAGTGGTTGTCACAATCTCTATCATGTACATGTTTTAATACGTCGAAGGACTCCGTGGGAGTTAAACACCTCAAATACGGGCCTCAGAATGACTTTTGGTATAACTGATTATTAATGATGGACTACTTGGCTGCTACAAACCTTACTTTTCTGGCCTCATCCTTTTGATCCGGAAGGATTCCGTTTTTGAGATAGCTTTCTAATGGATCCATCCAGCTCGGCTCTCTTGGAATAGCTGGGATTACCATTACCGGCAGCTGAGGACCTAACCTAGGTTCTTCCAAGGTGTCAATAGGCACGATTCGTATTAAATCTTCATCCGAGGAGGAAGCCGTTGCAGCTAGTCTGTCTACTTCAGAATTATTTTCTCTTGGTACTTGGTGAAATTCGATTTGATCGAATCCACGCGTAGCACTTTTGACAGCCTCCTTGTACGCCTTCATTCTTTCTTCCTTTGGTTGATACTTTCCTGTTACTTAATTCACAATGAGTTGTGAGTCACTAAAAACTTTTAAACAGTTTACCTAGAGTTGGCCTACCAGCCGAAATCCAGCTAATAAGGCTTCATACTCAGCTTCATTATTGGTAGCAGGAAAATCCAAACGGATTTGCTGTTGTAACTTCATTCCTTCTAGAGTTATGATGATGATCCCTGCCCCTGCACTAGCCAAGTTTGAGGAACCATCAACATGGAGTTCCTACTATGGTTTTGGGAGTTCTAGCTCTTTAGGCTTATCCTCATACTCCAGGAGGAAATCGGCCATGGCTTATCCTTTGTGTGACACCTTCGGCTCATAAGTTATGTCAAAAGAACTAAGCTCGATTGCCCATTTTGTAATTCTTCCTTACAGATCTGGCTTAGAAAGGATAGCTCGCATAGGTTAATTTGTGAAGACCACTATGCGATGAGATTCGAAGTAGTGTTGAAGCTTTCGCTTTGCATATACCAAGGCTAGTATGATATTTTCTGCCTTGCTATATCTTGTTTTTATATCAATCATTGTCTTGCTTGTGTAAAAGACTGGATGCTGGTTTCCCCCTTCTTCTCGGATTAAAACTGCACTTGCGGCTGTGTCAGAAATTGCTAAATACATGATGAGGACTTCGTCAGGCTTCGGGGCACACAAAATAGGGGGGTTAGTTATGTAATACTTTAGTCTAGCAAGAGCTTCTTGCTGCTGAGGTCCCCATATGTCTTTGTTCTTTGAGTGTATAGCATCAAAGAAAGGTTTGCACTTATCAGACAACCGGGATATGAAGCGACTGAGAGCTGCTATTCTGCCGGTTAGGATCTGCACTTCTCTGCGAGTTTTCGGCTCCTGATTTTGTACTAATGCTTGGGCCTGTGCCGGGCTTAACTCTATCCCCCTTTTGTTAACAATGTGGTCGAGGAATTGTCCTGAAGAAACTACAAAGAAGCATTTGGAGGGATTCAACCTCATATTATATTTTCTCAGAGTGTCAAAGACTTCTTGGAAGTGCTTGGGGTGATCTTCATTCTTCTCACTTTTGACCACCATGTCGTCGATATAAGCCTTGACAGTTTTACCCAGCATCTCATTAAAGATCTTATTGACGAGGCACTGGTAAGTTGCCCTGGCGTTCTTAAGTCCGAAGGGCATTACCCTGTAACAATAAGTTCCCTTTTCTGTGATGAATGATGTTTTTTTTTTTCATCCTTTGGATTCATGGGAATCTGATTGTATCTAAAGCATACATCAAGGAACGCTAATCTCTCATAGCCTGTGGTAACGTCCACTATTTAATCTATCTTTGGTAGCGGGAAACTATCTTTGGGAAAAGCCTTGTTTAGATTGGTGTAATCTATACATACCCTCCACTTTCCATTCTTCTTTTGGACCACAACTACATTTTAAAGCCACTGTGGATAACACACTTCCCTGATGAAGCCCGCTTGAAACAACTTGTCAACCTCTTCAGCAATGATTCGGTTTCTCTCTAGAGCGAATGTCCTATGTTTTTGTTTGACTGGTTTGTATGAAGGGTTCACTTTTAGATTATGACATGATACCGAAGGGTTGATCCCTGCTATATCCAAATGGATCCAAGCAAACGTATCTGCATTTCTTCGGATAACATCTATTAACACCTCCCTCTCTTCAGCTAAGGGGGAAGAACCCATATAAGTGACTTTCTGTTAATTACTAAGGATAACTTCTACAGATTCCTTGGTGGGCTTTGTTGTTTCTGCCTCTGTTTCTGCTTCCGAATACTCGGGCAGAGGGCTCTGTAATTACTATTTAACAACACCTTCAGGGGCTGTATCTGATTTGGATATCTTAACTCATTTATTTGCTTCCTTCAGTGTCAACATGTAACACTCTTTTGCAGCAACTTGATCTCCCCAAAGGTTAATGACTTCTTTTCTATATGGAGATAAGTATCGCATCACCTGATATAGAGTAGATGGCACTCCATTCATTCGGTGAATCCAACCTCTTCCCATGATGAGATTGTAGGAAAGATGAATTTCTGTCAGAACAAAGTTTTCTTTCAGTATCCTTTTTGCAGCAGTGACTGACAGATCGATTACCCCAATAGGATCCACTTTCGTTCCATTAAACCCCATCAAGGGACTGGATGTAGCTCGAATTGACGATGCTGGGATCTCTAATTGCTCAAAGGTTACCTTAGTTATAATATTGACACTACTGCTAGGGTCTATCAGGACCCTTTTAATCATGCAGTTGGCTACAAGAAGACTAATAACGAGTGGATCTTCGTGGGGAAGCTGAACTCTGGATAAATCTTCATCTCCGAATCCGATATTAATACTGCCCGAAGTAATGGTATTTATCAAGGATAACTTCCTTAGCTTGTGGACGGCCCTCAGTTTGGAGCGATACATTTCTTCTGACTCTTGGTCTTCCTCCGACTTTCTATGGATTGCATGAATGACCTTTATTTAATTACCTTCTACCTTCCAAGGATTAACTTCCCTCGGCATTATATGCTCCTTTGGCCCGAGATAATCTGCTAGGTCTTATTTGGCTATTGTGTTTTCTATCTGTTGCTGAAGGGATCTGCAGTCATTGGTTGTATGCCCATAATCCCTGTGGTATGCGCAATGTTTGCTTTTATCCCTCTACTCCAGGGGTTACCGCATTGGCTGAGGGACTATGAATCTTACTTAGTTTTCCTGAAATAATCGAGCCAGTGTATTACGGAGAGGTGTTACTCTATCCTCGGTCTTCTGTCTTTTCTCTAGTATTTGAGCAACTGGTGCTGAAGCATACTGATTTCTTTGAATTTTTGAACTTGAAACTTTTTCCTGAGGCTTATTTTCTACCGTGATGAGGGTGACATGTTGTGCTCGATGGGCTACATTCTCTTCAAGTCGAATGTAAATTTGTGCCCTGGCATTAAGAGTTTGCATATCTGGATGGGAGTATTTGACTAAAGAGGTATGAAACTAAGTCCCTTGGATCATACCGATCTTGAATGCTTCCACAGCCGTCTTAGGATGACAATCTGCTATCTCCGAAGCCTCCATGTTGTATCTAGACAGGAAATCCTGTAACGCTTCTTCTCTCTTCTGTCTGATAATGAAGAGACTAACAATAGTCTTTCTCTACTTTTTATTGCCGCAGTATTGTGCTAGGAACATGGCGCACAAAGTTTCGTAGTTCAGGATAGACTTGTGTGGCCTATTCTTGAACAATTCTAGTGCAACTCTTGTTAAACTAATTGGGAAAACTTTGCACATGAAATCATCATTGTGGTTTGATAAGTGCTTAAATGTTGCACATTTCAGCACCTAAACTAGGGTATTTTAGTCCTTACATCTATCGTGGTTATCTAGAGCCATCTTCTAAGAGTAATGATCGAAGTGACGAGAAGGATCTCCAGTACTATCGAACTGAGTGAAGGACGGCATGGTGAACTTTTTAAGTCTGTCGACGTAATATATCTGATCAGTGAATAGAGTCTTCACCAGATATGCCTTATGCTCTCTGGCCATCTCAACGGGTGTTTAAACCCTCAGGAGCTTCTTCTCATCAAAGATCTCCTGGACACCATCTTGAACGTCATTTGTCCACACTGTGAGTTTGCAACTAGATTTAGCATGTTCATCTTGCGTGTGATGAGGGTGGTTGTCTGAAGCTACTACCTTGTTTCTTGTCCTCTACTCCTGCCGACTCTCGTTGGCTTAAACTTTGTTAACGGGAGGAATATTGTGGTTGGGGGAAGCTCCTGCTATATTGACTGGTGGTGGCTGTGGTGCTATCTATGCTATGGCCATCAGCTGCGACTGTGGCTCCTCCAATTGACATCCCGAATCGTAATAGCATAAAAGATTTCAATTCACTTGTGGGAATATATTTCTATACGTCTCCCACAGATGGCGCCAAAGTGTAGGTGCAAATAATTCATTTAACTAAAAAGCCTAAATAATAAATACAACTCACTCAAAATAAAAGAACAATTAACAAGAATAATTCAAAGAAAAGCTTGTAATGCTTGATGCCCTTTATTGGAGGTCTATGCGTCTATTTATATACAAAAAGATGATGGAATTATGGTAGGACTCACCCTGCATGTCCTCCAATTCATTCCTTATATAATTCTTTACCTACAGAGTTCATTCCTTTTGTAGTTCTTTCCATGCAAGTCTTTTTCTATGCAGAACATCCTTATATGAAGAATCCTTAAGTAAAAAGACTTTGACTAATTTGAACTGGACTTGAATTAGAATGTGACTGGGCTGGCACACGAATCAAGAGGTTAATGTGAATAACCTTGCGTCGATGGCAACTTTAATTGGGCTTAGCCGAGATAGGGTTTTGATGGGCTGATTTGGAGATCAATTGGGATTCTGATTTACTTTAATGATGTCGCTGATTCTTATTGGAGGGGAGATTTTTCCCTCTACAGGACCATACTGGGTATAGATAATTGACCCAAGAACCAAAATTTTAGTTTATCCTTTATTTTTTTTTGGTAAACAAATCATTGTAGATAAAAAGATGAAGCTTAAGCCACTGTACAAGAGATATGAGGAAGACGACAAAGACAAGCCAATTAAAGTTTGTATAATAATCCTCTGGACATGGCGGTCGCTCCCTCATCAACGTGGTTGTTCAGAAAAGTTATCAAAACTAGAAGCAACAATAATAACAACAATCAAGTGAAGAAAGAATGCTAGAACGAGAGGGAAGAGAGAGAGACGATGAAGATAGAGAGGGACACAAAACAAAGAAGAAGAAGATAGAGGGAATGGAACAGATCTCATACCTGAATATGTAAACTATGCAAGGACCATCTATGAAGGTTTGGATCGAGTTCTTTTTCAATACTATCCAGTTCGGGACTGCAATCTAATTTTGGAATTTTGTTGTTATTGGCAGATGATCTCAGGGATGTTGTTGTTGATGTCAATTACCTGAATGTCGGAGGTGCTGTGTCTGATTATCAAATTTTCATTTGCTAATGTCCTCTTGAAGGTAACTACAACTCAATTTACTTGAAGCCATCTCAGATTCAATGATGCAGAATCGATGGTGTTCATACGATGTCCTTTATTATCAGCCACATCGATCCTCATCTTGTCCAGAATGCAATCAGTGCTTATCGGTGCAACACCAATTATCTAATGCACTGCATGTATTCACGGCGGCTCGAAATTCCCTACTGTGCCGATGTCAAGATCCAAGGTCCAGGAACAAACTATCTCGTTTTTTCATCGAATATGCTTACCCTTTACCAGCAATTGCTGCTATAACACTGTTTTTTTCTTGGTGTTTTCCTTTATACACACACAAATGGATGACCATGTAAAAACGAAGGTCATGTGGGTAGGTGGGTCGTTTGTTGGTGTATTTGAAATATTGAATAGTGAAGCTCTCTGCTTATAAAATTTCTATTAATTGTATAAATAAATGTCCAATTTTGACATTATTTTTGGATGATTTGCCATTGTTTTAAATTACATATGTTCTTAGGCAATTTTTTAACTACATAGACATTCTGAAGGCTATATTTCTAGAATTATTTGGGAAAAAAAAAAAATACCCATCAAAGTTCTCAAACACCCAACAATTCTTCAATCTACCATGTATTATATATGCAGCACAACAATAGCAAGAAATTTAATGTCAAACCAAGAAAATGCGCATTGAATCTGCATAATATCAAAAACCATCCATTACTTATTTACTAATGATATGTAATTTGCAAATTCAAATCAATTCATTAGAACAATATGAAAAATTTAGGCCACAAACTCTCAATGATTTCCTATACATAACTACTAATTTGGTAACAAAGGAAACAAAACTTTAGACAATGCATTACAATTCTTGTTGAGAGTTTGTACACAACAGAATGGTTGTGGAATATATAATATGGATAGATAACCTAGAGGATGGTAAATATATTTAACTTGCTCTTTTATTCAATTTTTAATTAATTTAATTTTACCAAAATAAAACTAAAATTAAACCACAAAGCAAAAATAAAGTGCAAGTAAAGTAAATAGAGTTTGAAATATGACACCAAGATTTTATTGAGGAAACCCCAATTGGTATAATAGACCAATTGTAACAGGAAAAACCTTGTTGGACTCCACAGTCCTGAGATAAACGATCCACTACGTTTGAAGCAAAGTATACCGAACTTTGACTCAATCTCATACCCTATCGTTCTATCAAAAACCAATTGCTGACAATCCATGGCTTTGCGACTCCCCCGTCCAACAGCTTTTGACCTCAGGCTTACTCTTGATCTCTATAGAAGAGTTGCAGGTAGATCAGACAACACTCCACGAATGCTCTGACCCCTTCAAAGTGTGATCGCTTCACCCCTTTTCTTCTAGATTTGAATTTGATGAAGAATGAATGAATTCTGCTTTTTCGGAATTTCTGAATCTTCAATTATGCTTCAATTTGGACGAGATAGAGAACAACACTCCTAAATCACTCTTGTGTTTATGTGTGTGCTCTCAAAAATAAAATCAGAAAAATCAAATTGATTTTCTGAATAAAAATATCTCTCAAAGATGGCATTCAATAAGATCTGAATTTTGTATGCAAAAGTCGTTAACCTATGTGTATGACAAGGTTTATATAAAGTTTAGAAAGTCCTAATCCCTTAGAAAATATGATAAATTTCGTGCATATGATTTGGTACAGTTCTAAACCAAATAGGAAAGAAATCTGAAACAGGAAACTAAACTTTCCATAGGCTATCAGGACTCTTGAACCTGTTCAAAGAATTGGGAATCGGTTCAAGGATGGCAGAATGTATTTCGGGGCCAATGTTGAACTCTTGAACCTATTCAAAGAATTGGGAATAGGTTCAAGGATGACAGAATGATTTCTAGGCCAAATTCAAATGGCTTGAACCTGTTCCAAGAATCATGAACAGGTTCAAGTCTACCAGACTTGATTCCTAAGGTTCTAGGCATTGTTTTTTGGTATATTCTGAAACTTACCAAATATGGAATGTGTCATAACCTTTTTGGATTTCTTCCTAATATGTTGTTATTCCTTTTTTGTGATGATAGCAGTTATAACATCTTTGAACAACCTTCTAATTCCGCAGTCGCTGTTGATCCCGATATAGTAACGTGAAATTACAACTCAACTAGGACTTGTTTTGACATCGAAAGTTGCTAATTACAAAATATATATTTTTTACAATCTTCCCAAAATATATATATATCTCACAGTTGAGGAAAGATCTCATGAATGAGCTTTCCAGCCATAAACTTGTAAGCTTCTTGCGTGAGATGAACTCTGTAATACCCCTAATTTGAAAAGGACAGTCCTATAATTTATTTTAATTATTTATGTGCATTTTTACTAAATTTATTGTTTAAATTGCATTTTATTTGTTTAATTAATTATT